GGGGGGGGGGGGAGAAGAAGGTGGAGACGGAGGATGGTAGAATCTGTCAACAAGTGGATGATGTTGTGGAAAGCAAGTTGTTGTGTAGACAAGTTAGTGTTTTGATGCTGTGTTTGGAAAGGAAGATGTGTGTATAAAATACATAGGCCGTAATTGACCTCTGCTGTCCCTTTGTGGCAGTGCAGTGTTGACGCCTGTATTTTATAGGAATCACGCCCATCTTTGAGCTTGGCCAGTTTTCTGGTCCCTTTCCCAGCTCACATACGTCTATACCCGCTGATATCATATAGTATTATATTATGATGTTGTTAATTTGCCGAATTTCGGGCTGTTATTGGCACCCCTTCCACCTCCTCAACTTAGGTTATCGCCTTCGTCCAAAAAGAATATGATATCATCATATCATATTCTCTGTAGTAAAATTTGGCACCCTTCGCTCCTGTCTCTGTTGTGTTCATCTCCTCTTGCTCCCTTGGTATCACTTGAGTGGTGGTGTGTCTGACAGTTCACCCGAATAGAATGCCCGGTCATTATAGCTGTATTTGGGGCAAGTTGCAGACCAGATGCGGCCAGAATGACCACGTGTCTTGTTCGGGTGAAGATGGTCATGGACAGAAGCCTTTCCCTTTTTCTTAGCAGAAGCAGCTGTTGGTTCGGCAGGCGAGTGCCTTGTGTGCTTACCCTGTCATTGATGACGAGAAATATCAGTATACGTGCCCTTTTGTTTTCTTCCAGAGAAAAAAAATGACAGAATGTATATCCTGAAGCTTTTTCTCCAAAGCAAACGATTAGACGGTGGGGGTTCTGTTCGTCTCATATGTGTATGACATAGGCCCTTGGTCCACTGCTCTCCAAATGTGCAAAATGATAATGGATCTTCCGGTGAACATGGAACTATACACTGTTGTTTAAAAAAAAAGAAGGAAAAAGAACTATACACTGCCATATTTTGTCTTTTGTGCGCATGGATGGTGGAGTAAGGCCCATAGCGCTCGTACCAACACAGACGGAAGTAAAAGGATTCTGTGAAGGATATGAGCTTGCGCTGCAGGAAGTAAGAGCGCAAGGGAGTGTTGTTGTCAGTCTGTGCCATATCGTGTTTTTCTGTTCTCAGTAGAACTTGCCATGGTCAATTTTTCAATCCAAAAGGAGAACACGGCTGAAAGAAAAGCAGAAATGCATGGCGATAACAGGCTTCATTTAAGAAATTTATTACAATACCACCACAAAGCAGAAACGCGTGGCGATGACAGGCTTCAATTTAAGAAATTTATTACAATACCGCCACATCTCGTATTCACACAGAGGATGGCACACACACACACACACACACACACACACACACACACACACACCCCTAGCCAGACAGACAGCACGTCTCATAATCCAACAAAACTGTGTGCCAACTTGTCAACCAATGCCGAGATGAACTGTCGGTCCTGAGTGCGGAAACCTCTGGGCACATCACTAAAAACTGCAACCAACAGGTGTGGCGACGACCCTGGACCTTGGAGTGATTTTTGCCGCAGCGGCTGTGGAATCTCATCTTGCTGCGGCACACAATAAACAAGGGCGGATTCAACCCCACTTGGCAAGAAGCCCCAGTCTAAAGCCCCACTCTTCACAAGTTCCGACCTGCCCTTTAGAGACGCGATGCTCCAACTTCGCGCTCTCTTACTAAACTCCCCTAATGATGTGGCAGCGACTTTAGATGCCACGCGCCCAAGCTGAGCTAACAAGTCAGACGCAGGAGCAATTTGGCTTCGGATTTGGCTTTGCTGCGCGGGAACCGCGCTCATAGACAGAGACCCACGTGCGCAGACTGCAGCGCCCCGACTCCAGACGATGAACCCCTTGACATCTGTGTTCCGAAGGAGTGCATAGCTGGCCCAAGCAACTTCCTTCCTCGCGTCTTCCCCTAAAACATTTGAAAGTGAAAACAATTCTGTTCCACCAGCTATTGTGCCCTGCTTAGCTCTCTTGGCCAACCTCGCTTCCTTCAACCGAAGACTAATGGATGGAAGCGCCACGGCTATGGCAGCAAGAAACAGGCCAAGGACCTCGGTTCGCAGTTGCGGGGCTGTGAGAGGCGGAGGTGAAACTGCATGATTAACACCTATGAGGAATCCCAACATGATTCCCACAACCCGAGGAAGAAGCCTATCCTCTAGCCAAGGAAGTCCCAGTGTAAATCGGAAGACAGATACCTCCAAGTCATATCTATCGACACCTGTGCCCTCCTCACCGAAGCCATCCCCGACACCACCACGAGCCTTGGCGACAACACACCGCTCATTGTATCTTCTTCCTCTTGTGAGCCGCAAGGCACCATGCCGCCCTCCCTGCATGGGCAACCAGTCACAACTCCGCTCTTTCTGGGTCCAGTTGCTGACTTGAGTCGCAAGCATCTGACATGTGCAGGGAGAACAATCTCTAAAGCCCCGCGAACGTCGGTTCAGTTTCAGAGGGGAAATGTTAACCTCTGTTATCCTGAGGAGCTTGCACCCTCTCAAGAAGGTATCGCCGCAAGTGGACAGATCGTGCTCCAATTGCCTGGTCAGGCGCAGTGGAGAAAACTGCAGCTGGATCTGAGATGCAACCGCTCCCCATCCTGTCATCTTGCCACAGCCTGATCGAGTTGAACGCTAGATGGGCAAGACGGGACAGATGAGTTCTCACTAAGCTCACAAACCCCACTTTTGGTTCACACCAAAACAATGAAAGCGCCAAACATCAGCCGGTGGTGACTTCCCTCACCTTGCCACCATCACCCACCACCGCCCAGTGGTCGCATTGTAATTCCTGCATTCTCCTCAGAATGCAGAATTAGAGGCAACAACCTGGCATCCAGATCCACAAAAGCAGTTGCAGATTTTACAGTTATGATTCTGTCTCTTATACACATCTAGATGTGTATAAGAGACAGGCTCATGCCTTCCTGGGCTTACTTGGCACCCGCTACCCAAGAGATAAACCACTGGATCCCCCGATCGGCATCAAGCAGAGTCTGCTATGTTCGTAGGGGAGGGGCCTGAGGGGAGGCACGGGGGATTGATCCGCTTTATCCCTGGTGCTACCGGCCGTCCCCTGGCCGGTATCCTGCAGGCTCAAGGGGCCGTAAAAACACGGCTCTGGTATGCTACAGGTCTGTCTCTTATACACATCTAGATGTGTATAAGAGACAGGGCCTGAGGGGAGGCACGGGGGATTGATCCGCTTTATCCCTGGTGCTACCGGCCGTCCCCTGGCCGGTATCCTGCAGGCTCAAGGGGCCGTAAAAACACGGCTCTGGTATGCTACGGGTTTCCCCGTATGCCTGTAGGTAGGAGTAGTGGTAGGTAGGTAGTGTGAGGAAAAATTGAGAGAAGAGTATAGTTTTCAAAAAAAAAAAAAAAAAAAAAAAAAAAAACTTTCGGATGTCTATCTATCTATATATATATTTTTTAATATAAACTTTACAAAGGCTAATTCTTTAAGCCCAAACAATTCAATTACCTGTCGAATCTGGACAGGAAAGGCTAATTCCCAAACAATTCAATTACCTGTCGAATCTGGACAGGGTGGCCTTTCAGGCCTTTAATATTACGGGGAACCCCGTAGCAGCCACATCCTTGCTCAAGCCTCCAACGAGGGAACATGCGGGAGCTGCACCCACCAGCAGGTGCGATACCTGCCACAGCAAGTGGGCGGTACCGGCCAGGGGTCAGCCGGTAGCATCAGGACCGAGCTTCTTCGATGGCCCAGTCACTGTGCCTCCCCTCCGGTCCCCTCCCCCTCTGAACATCAGCAGCCTCGGGGAGACCAACGGCATATCTCTAGGTGGCGGCCGCCAAGCTTGCCCAGGAAGGTACATGAGACCAATTGGGAATTGAACCCAACACCTCCTGAATGCCACTTGCGTGCCTTACCAACTAAGCTAGGCCGCTGGGTGTCTACAAAAATCCAAGGACACAAGGGCCCATGCAGGAGATTTAATAACATCTATTTTTGGGTCTGGCTCCACCACTCACCCAATGTGGAAAATGAGAATGAATGTCCCCCTAGAACATGGAAAGATGCACTGCCATAATTTCTTTCTTCTCTGCATGTGGTGAGCCGTGGAGTGACACCGTTTGTTTGTATCTCATCCAAAACAAGTTTAATTGGTCGCCGAGGCAACACACGGGGTCGAAAAACGTGAGCGCGAGGCCACAGGACAGCGGGTAGAGGGGACAACAATAGGATGGAGGGGGGAAGGGGAACAGACCAAAAAACACATTTGCTGCCGTTTATAGTTTTGTCTTTTTGGGCCCTGTTTTGGAGCATCATGGTCATCGAGAGGAGAACCATGCAAGGACACACATTTCCATCCACCCGATATTATGACTATACTTGCTGCTTTTGTTCCTCTTGGTTCCATAGGCATTTTGTTCCTCTTGGTTTCATATTAGGCTCTGTGTGCCTTTCCGAACTACATGCTGCTTTTGTGACTATGTTCTTCAAGGACAGTTAAACCACCAGTACCTCGGCCAGCTATTGAATCCGAACCTGAATTTGCCCTGCGCACCGCTTTTTGCCGACCCTCCGTCGTTTCGTGAGAAAACGGGGTACCGGTACCGGTACCGCTACTTGGCACTTCGGCCTGAAGGCAGGTCCATCTGAACGGACAACAGATGGACCTGTGTTCAGGCCGACTTGCCAAGTAATGCAGTTCGGCCAAGTAATGCAGTTCGGTTCCGTACACATGACTGTTAGGGTTTCTTTTTTTTTGTTTTTTGTTTTTCGTTTGCTGCTTTCGCTTTCCGTACAGTCACCGCGGGTGTGGTGCTCCCTGCGGATGGTGCGTGGCCATGGCCGTCCGTTTCCCGCCTCCACCTTCATCGTGGCGTGCCCTCCTGCCTTGCCCTGATGTCGAAAGGACAACACAAAGCAGATATGTCGCTGCCCCCTTCCTGTCCAAAGGACAACACAAAGCAGGTATGCCGCTGCTAGCAGTGCTAGGTGATCCGCCATGCCTGACTGTGCCCCGAGCTTCCTTGGTGCGTCACTACCCCAACGGGGGCCTTCCACATGCAGCGCCCAACAAGGTGATGAAGATGGTGTCCACCATAGCCAGGTAGGTACCTAGCCACTCTCCCCCTTTGCCCGCTTCTTCCTCCTCCACAAGCCGGGCTGCTCGCCATAGCTGAGCTGAGCGCCCGGCTGCTCCCCTCCCTCCAAGCAGCGCTCCAGGTCCAGCGCTAGCGCTCCAGCAGCATCATGATGTCGCCAATCCTTGCATACCGCAAATGAGGAGGAGCTACTTGCTCCTCCAGAAGATATAGCGGCCTACCCGCCTCTTGGGCAGTGACTTCCCAGGCCGAGCGGCCTCCCAGCAACCGGTACCTCCTCCCTTTCGCAGGGAAACATCATTGCAGGCTCTGCTATCGTCCGGACAGGCCCTAGACCCGGGCTACTTGGACTGGGACCGGCCTACCTCTAGCCTACCACTACTGGGCCTCTAAAAATGCGAACTTCGTCTTCTTCTGCTTGTCCTACGGCTACTGGGCCTCTAAAAATGCGAACTTCGTCTTCTTCTGCTCGGCCTTCAGTACCGGCCTATCTAAGTGTCGCGGGCCTACGCCCCCCGGTACTTCAGTGTTTTCCCCGCTGCAACCCTCAAAGTCACGGCCACAGGTAAGTACCGGCCCTACGGGCCCTGTCAACCAACAAGTACCCATGCGGGTCACACACACACTCAGCCGACAAGCAGTCAGACAGGCACGCAAACCAGCAGGCACGCACACACACAGACTTGAAATTCACAGCAGGATGTGGGATTCATATGCACACATATACATATAATACGGTTTTTTCCTAGGGTACCAGCCCGGCGGCCCGGCACCCGGGTAGCCAGCCCGTGCATGGACGAAGGAAGGTCCTACCCAAAAAAAAAAAAAAAAAAAAAGACACCAAAGAAAACAATAAACAAAGTATGTTATGCAGAAAATGAAACTGAACAACTTTTGCCTGAGGGTCACATCGAAATTCTTCACCAAATTTGAGTTAAAAATTCAAATTTGAACATAATCTTTTTTTTTTTTTTTTTTTTTTTTTGGCCCGGCCAGGCAAGTGACCCCAGGCCACTCTAATACCATAGATTTTTTTTATTTTATTTTATTTTTTACATCGCTGTATCCTTACAAATATGCAACTATATATGACGATAAATATGAAACAGTTTTCACCTTTGGCAG